GAAGCAACGCTAGGGAAAGGGACGCGGTCCGGCCGAGCCGGCCCCCCTCGGGGCGTGTCCCGCCTGCAGACCCGGCCCGGCCTCCTCTCCCCTCGCTGGCGATGAACGGGCCGGGACAAGCTGACGACCGGGTGACAGCGAAGGGCCCTGCGCCCGCCCTCCTGTGGGCTTCCAGGGCCCAGCACCTGCTCAGAGGCCCCAGTGAGGAATTGCAAGGCCTTCCCCGTTTCCCAGGAGCCGATGCCTGTGGTCCGCTGTTGTGCCGCTGGCGGGGCAGGCCGGAGGCGTGGGGAGAGCCGGGCGTCGGGGCCGCCACGGGTGTGCGGTGCCGTTGGGCACGGAGCCAGCGCCTTAGCCAGGGCCTGTCGGGGCTGCCCGTGGCCGTATCCCAAAACCTGTGTCTTCATTGCTGGCTTACTTCAAGGTTTCTGGGAAACAGCGTTGTCAGAAACTGCTCTTGCAGTTCCAGTTGCTTACTACCTCCACAACATTCGGAAATACAAACTGTTGTTCATATAATACTGTTTGTAGTCATGGGTATTTAGTGGATGATAACTATTGAAAGCTCTTTTTGTCATTAAAGATTTTTTTTCGAGCTAACTATTTTATTGTTTTATTTTTGCATTTTCCTCACCAAAAAATGAATAGTGAGTTGAATAGTGAGTTGAAAACGAATTGATTTCAAAGCAGTATGTTACAAAGAGTGAAAAGTAACCATTTCAATCATCACATTGCTTCTTGCTATGGTGCCTTATTTGGAAAAATGTAATATGGAATATGTAACTGGTTCCATTTTTATTATTCATAAATTGTTTACTTATATCAATCCTCATTTTTCAAGAGAAAAAAGAGCTCTGTTCCTAGCTAGGAAGAAAATGCCAGGAAGTTCAGGTGTGTAACAGATGTCTGATGAATTATGGGGTCCCTGTGTCTCCCTGGATGTTGCAATATCTGTCTGCCATTTTTTCTAGACAAAATAAGCCAGATTGGGATCTCTTTATTCTGAAGGTCTAGGTCTTTGTGTGCTAGTTTATTTGGTTTGGGGTGTTTGTTGGTGTTTTTTATGGGGCTTTTTTTGTTGTTTTTTTTCCCCTGAGTTCAGATGCATCCATTACAGATGTACATTTTAAACTTACCTTTTAGGAGCAACTGGTCATGGTGGAACTATCAGGAATTATTGATTCAGACTTCTTAGAAAAATGTGAAAACAAATGCAAGATTTTGGTGAGTGATTACAGCACAGTAAGGAAGGGGTAAGTCAGTATGCGTATGAACAAGGGACTGAGGCTGTTTCTAAATTCCTTCAGGTCAATAATGCTCAGATCAAATCTTTGACAGAGAATTATGTGCACTGTCTTGGCCGCATTTGGCTGCATGTTGTGGGCTCTCTATTTCAGAAATTGCATATGGTCTTTGAATATTGTAGTATGTAAATGTAAGGAAGTATTTTCAGAAATATTTCTAGACTAAGACCATTATCGCCTCTGATTTCAAGTTCTTAGTTAATATTAATTTTATGTCTTGCCATTCTTTCAGGAGTCTGCTACCTTCTGTAAAATCGCAGCTTCTGGAGAACTCTCTTATCTACTTCCATAAATCCTGTTTTAAAGATGTGCTTTTCTTCGTATGAAGTTGATAATTTGAGAAAGCTTTACAGTCTGGAATCTATTCCTTTAATACCAAAAGAAAGGTTTTATTTCACATTTACAGTGTCATGGAATACTTATTTTACTGTTATGTTGTTTTATGATTAAACTGTTTATCTTTTCAAGGAATTGATGTACTTTGGATTCAGATGTGTCTGTCTTCTTTCATCTCACAGCAAGAACTTTGCCTGGACTAATAGAGACCTGACATCTGTGCAATTTTGTCTCTCTTTTTGTAGGGAATAGAGACAGAGAGGCCAATTTTACAAGTGGACAGATATGTATTTGCAGGAGAATATGAAGGTAGGAAAAATGATGTAGATATATCATCTTCTTTTTCATGTGACCCAGAGAACTTTCTTAACATCAGTTAATTGCACTGCAATTAAGAGAACACGGGCCTGTGAGGTGCTGAAGTTCTGAGTGGTGTGTGAATAACACCATATAGCACGGCACCAGGCTGAGTTCACACCCGAATTAGCCGTGCATCCATCATTCTTACTGGAAAGTATACTGGGAAGCTGACTCTGGGGTGCACCAGCAATTATTTCTGCAGGGAAAAATGTGGGATGTAAAATGCCTTAAAGTAAGTGCTTGTTGTCTCCTGTGTAAGCAGGACTGACACGTCGTGCAATCTGTAGTTCTTCCATTTGCCTTATGGTGACAACATTGAAGAAAATGATCTGGCATCCTCCTTGTAGTGACTTTGAATGACCGTGGTACTCCTGTCTGTTCCTGAGTCAGCAGTGCAGTTACCAATGCTGGGCCTTTGCAATGGGCAGGAAGACAGAGCATTCCCAGAGCTGTATCACTGGGTGCGTTATTTAAAGCTAGAAATTAGTCTGGTAGAAATTAGTCTCTTAAGACTTTCTCGCTTTGTTTTCCACAGATACCTTGGGAACCTGTGTGGTTTTTGAAGAAAGCACAGAGCATGGTAATCGTGATTTGATGTCCTGTTCGTAGTGGTAGCATGGGTTGTTTGAAATAGTGTTTATCTTGTTTCAGTTGACAGTGGAATTCACTATAATGATTCAGTTTGGGGTATTGTTTTTTCCTCCTCTCTTCATAGTAGATGCAGAAGGCAACCAAAAAGTGCAGCTGAAATACAAGTGCCACACAATGAAGAAGTTGAACATGACACGGACACTTCTGACAGAGAAGAAGGAAGGAGAAGAGAATGTTGGTCAGTGCCTCCGCTCTTACGCACAGGGACACGGGTGGATTATGCTTAGTAGTGTCAGCCTTGATTAAGTGTTTGATTCAGGAGCATGCAGGAAGTTAGAAGAACTTTCTCCTGTAGACAACAAATGTTTATATTAAATAGAAAAATACAAACCAAAACACACTTAAAAAAAAAAGAAAAAGAAAAAAAAAGAGAGAGATTCCTTCCAACAAGTGCTGCCTCCAGAAGTGGCTAGCAGGAGATTGCTACAGAGGTAAGAGCAAGGCAAACATATTGCTTATGTTCCCTGGTGTGTTTTTCTGTCATCTGAAAGTTTTGGCACCAGTTCTGAAATCAGGGTTGCTGTTTAGTAGTTCTTAACTGATTTATTTTTTTAAATTTTTGTGGGTTTTTTTTTTTCCCCAACATTTTTTCCAGTGACCTTCTGAGTCTCTAATTCTAGAAAATCTGTAATATCCTTAGTAAGAAGTTCCATGCTGTGTGTACTACAACTTAATTCTTTGTAGTGAATTTACAGTTAACTGTAAATGCATTTAACTTTCTTGCAAAGACACACCTAGCGGACCATACTGACTTTCATTCTGTAGGCAGAACTCAGTGCTCATATGTTTGCTTTATTTCAGTGGTGGTTTTTTGTAACAAGTCAGTGCTTTTACGGTCAGGTACTGAGTATCCAGCTATATATAGTAGTATCCATTAGCAGTATCCTGTTGCAGTTGCTTTTTTCCACTTGAGTGTTACTGCTTCATATTTTAAGAATATGTGGCCATTTTACATTAAATATGGGCAGTCAGCTGGACATTGGTCATAAGAGGTGTAACATGAAGTGTCATCTGGAATCTAACCAACCATCAGCATTCTTGTCAACACCATGTACTGTTTATTCTCTCCATATGATTAAGTAGGTAATACTAAACAGAAACCCTTATTTTTGAAGTACAGTAGACTAGAGAACATGTTGCTTAGTACAAAGGCCTATTTTTTTTTCTGGAGGAGCAGTAATGATGATACCTGCTGAAAAACACTTTTTTCTGTACCTTGATGGAAGTTTAATGTTGTGCATACAAAATAATCTGAATTGGCCATATGGACTGCCTAAAAATCTATGTGGAGGGGAAATCCTGTTTCTATTTGGCGTCTGTTCCATAGGTGGTGTAAAAGCTTGATATGCTTGAGTTCAGGAGAGGACACAAATTGTTATGCTTTCTCTGATGTCATTCCCTATGATATTAACAGAAGTTTGTTCACTTAAATCTTAGAACATTGTATTCTCTTTATTGCATTTGTAAAATATCTTCTCAGCATTTTGAATTATATTTAAGATATTTTAAGAGTCTAAGGGTGGTCTTGGACACCTAAATACAACAGGAACTGCCATACTGTATCAGACCAAGGGTGTTTTAGTCCTGTGTTGTATTTTAGTAGTAAATGGGCAAGTGGAAAGTAGGAGGATGGGGACATAGACATGAGTCATCCTTTCTTTTGGCTGTCTTTCAAGCATTCAGCAGTTCATGACTATCCTGACGAGTTTTCATCTGGACTACTATGTCTTTAGTCCATAAAAGCTTTGTCATTTTTACTTGGTTTTTGAACCTCTCTATACTTTTGACTTCTGCCACTTTTATGGCAGTTAGTTTTCAAATAACTTTTCTGTTTTAAGGAAAAAGTGCAACTTTACTCTGGGTTTTCTTGACTGTTTGTTTGCTTTTCTGGTTATTACACATGAATGATCTGGGGCTTCCAATGCATGCAAGTTACCTACTTTGTTATCAAAATGAGGAGATGAGTCAATACCTGCTTCTTTTCCCAATACAACCTTATAACATCTGCCCCCTTTGAGCTGTGTCCTCCAAGTGGAATTCTAGTCTCTCTTGCTTTTTGTTGCAGTTCTGTGGTTGGTTGGTTGTTTTTTTAAGTCTCTTCCCATGTAGATCTAACTTTACTCTCACCAATTCTTGTTTCTCTTTTCTAGTTTTGCAGTATGGGTTGAGCAGGACACCATACTTGTGACACTGAGTAGCAGTTTTGTATCTTGACATTCATGCTGTTCATTACTTTCCTAATAAAATTATCTCCATTGTGGCTGCTCTTTAGAGACTGAGCTGGTGGTGGGACTGAACCACTCACAATGCCTCCAGTATCTGGCTAAAATCCTGTAGCTGTATGTTTTGGTTAAGCTGGTTTAGCCTGTGCATGCTGTTTTTAATTTAAACTGTAAACAGTTAAGTTTCTCTTAATTTTAAGCTGGTCTTTATCAGATGACTTTCTATTATTCATAGTGTTATTCTTCAAGGAAAATTAATGGTTTAAGCCCCATGGTGAGACTCACCACAAAAATTAGCGTTGGTCCAAATTCTTGAAAGACATCTATCAGTCCAAAGTGGTTCTTCTACTTAAATGTTGGTCAGGCACAGCCTTAGTAACAGTGAACTTAAACTAAGGAAAAAAAAACCCACCTGTTAACTCGTAACTCCTTTTATCACTGATATCAGTTATCCTTCTTTGCATCAGGCGAAGTGGAGTGGTTACAGATCAAGGACAGAGATTTTTCCTACAGCAGGCCTAATACGATTTGCAGCTTTCTGCGTGAAAAAGAAGATTCTGAGGAGTCAGCTCAGGCCCAGGACAAATTGACTGAAGAGTCAGAGGGAGAGGTGAGTGGCGGAGGAAATTCTGACATGAACTGTGATCTGGAGAAGCAGCACGGCTTGGAAATAGATGCCTCTCTTCCTCCGCCTGACAGCCCTGCTTCTGGGGCAGAGGATTCTCCTTCTGGGAGTGTTGCCTTAGATGATGTCCCTCCATGATGTCAGCTCTGATCTTTTCAAGATTTCTTCATGGAGGTAATGGGCCAAATTTAAAAGCCGTGACATGATTTTCAATTTATATGAGCAATTAATTGCGGTAAAACAGACATCATGTTCTTGTGCATTGCCTTTATGTTTGGATTATAGTAATGAGGGCTTGAGTGTATTTTAAAAATGCTGATTGGAAACTTGTGTATCTCTACCTCAAAATTGAAGAAGAGAAAATGGTTACATAATAAAAAAACCAACCCTACCTTAGAAAAATGTTGTTTTGTACAGTCTGGGACATTTTGTAAAGAGGGAAAAAAAATTGTTTAAAATAAAGTCCTGAATTTTCCAAGTATAGCTTCACCTTGTGTGTCATATTCAGCCACATACTATGTCTGTTCTTGTACTGCAGGTATTGAAAGAAAAAATTCAAGTAAGCATGGTTTTTACTACTTGTTTGATTACTCATCAAATTGCTTAGTTTGAATTTTTTCTATCATCCTTTGTCCCCTTGATGGATCTTAGAAATTCTTCATGTGGAAAGGGATTACGGGAGGTCTCTTGTGCAGCTTCCTACTTAAAGTGGGGTCAACACTGAATTCAGGCCAAGTCTTGTCAGCAACTGAAATCTGGGTCTTAATGAGGCATCTGTCACTCTTCCATCCCCTATTTTGTCTATAATAAAATGTGTGTTATACAAAAGGAAGTTGCTCTCCACCACTGTACCCCCCTCCCCAAACTTCTTGGCTCTGATCTTCTCCTCTAGCGTTTTTCTGAAGGTTTTTATGCCTAAGATCCTGTAACTATGCATCTGTGGTTCCTGAACTGATCTGTGTGTCTGTTTTGTGGCCCCTAGCAAGTCTGTGGGCTGATATTACGTACTGCTACATCATAGAAGTTGTCACGTAGTATTTCATATAAAAGTTGAGTATGTGGTGCATTTGTGATAACGTTTCTAAAAGCATAGCATTTTTTAAACATTTCCTGACCTTTCTTCCTACCTTTCTCTGCCTCCCTTAAAACTGCACCAATGCTGTGAGGATGGGAACGCCTAATTAATTCCAGTGTAATTATATAATACTTTAATTAGTAACGATCAGAGGAGAAGTTCACCCCCAGCACTGTTCACAGCACAGGATCAATGAAGATCAGTCATCAAAAGAGTGCAACACTTTTAATCCATCAGTCCCACTATTCTGTTTGTCTATGTAGAAGCAACTGAATCACGGGGGAAGGGGAGGTAGGGAGAAGAGGAAGGTGAGGAAGAAGAGAGTTCATGTTTTTGCAGCCATACTTGCTCTTTAACCTTCTTTTAACCTGTCCTCCCAGAAAGCAGGTGCTAATGAGTCCACTGCTGCTAATAGCAAATTCTTCAGCTTTACTGATTTCACCAAAAAAAGCCCAACAAGCTGGTTATTTCACGTGCAGTTCAAAACTGGAGGGTGGTGGAGTGTGGAGTAAAAAGAGTATTGGGTAAGTATGACAGCTGGACATAGGATCACTGCCATAATCATCCTTGCCTCGTTACTGCATATTGTTCTGTGCCTAAACAGCGAGACCACCTCAGTAGTTCCTTGCCATGCCTGGTATTAAGCACTTTTTCTTTGCACAGTGTGATGGTTGCCAGCATATATGATGTTCAGGGCTTAAAAACGAGATTTTGAAAGAACTTGGGAGAAGATTCAATGACACTTGACTTAGAGGAGCAGAGTGCAGCATGGGAAGCGTTCACAGGCAGGCTGGGGATGGGTATATTCCGAATTGGATGTAGGTAGGCAGGGGAAGATTTTTCTGCTCTAGGTCTTTGGATTTTTAGCTGGGTATTTTGGCTTTCTTGTACCTTCAGTTTTCCAGTTACAATCAAACTTGAGGAGCAAATGCAACAACCTGCTCTGCAGGCTTTGAAATAGCCAGAAACATTTTAGGTTAAGAGGAGAAAGTGCTTTAAAAGTGATGCTATCATATTAGCGACTTCAGGCAGAAATAGACCTTTGGCATTTGGCTTCTATGATGTATGAGGTCGTGTCGTACAATAGCTGCATCGTTCTTTCCAAATAAGTAAATTTTGGGGGAATGGGGCTTAAAATTGCATCCTTTAGCTGTTCAACGTTGATGTGGTTCCCAACACGCCAGGGATGAGCGGAGGGTGAGCAGCCAGGTCACAAACACGTTGCCCGGCCGCTGCTGCAGTAACGTCCCGTTCCGCCGTAACTGCATCGTCACCCCCAGTCTCAAGATCCGATAGCGCTTTGCCATGTCCTCGCCGGATGTGACGTACCGGGTGACGTCAACTGCCGGCGGCGGGGCGCGCACGTGAGGCGGCTCGGCAGCGATGGAGGCGCTGGACCGGGTGGTGTGAGTGTGTCGGGGCAGCGGGGGGCGATACCGGTGGCGGCACCGGGCGGGGGGGTGCGCTGGGAGATATGGGCCTGCCCGGGGAGGGTTGGAAGGGGGCGGGGAAGGCCGGCAGGGAGGAAAGGCCCGTGTAAAACCTGTGGGGGGAGGGGGGAAGCTGGGTGCTGCCGACTTTTAATAACAAAACTTTGCGTTCTTCTCATATGCGAGTCTCTGACTTGGGGAGGGAGCGGGTGTGTGGGAAGCTTTCAGCCTGTCAGTAGTCTGTGGGAATTCAGATATAGTTTAAGCTTTAAATTATCAGAAACTGAAAAGCCCTAGGCTGTAAAATCAGCTTTGCTATGTTGGGAGGACAGGGGAAGAGGAGGGGCAGGGAAATACATTCATCTGAGGCTGGGCTTTTAGCACTGGTTGTAATTCCACAGGTTGGGATTAGTTTGAGTCACTGAGATGTGTTACTTGAACACAGCTTTTCCTAATTCTTGTTTTGTTTTACTGTTTTCTACTGTGCCTGGTGCTGTTGCTAATACTGAGTTTTTAGCTGTTAACTACTTGTTACAGAAAGCCTAAAACAAAGAGAGCAAAAAGGTTTCTTGAGAAGAGAGAACCCAAACTTAAAGAAAATACAAAAAATGCCATGCTCATAAAAGGAGGAAATGCAAACTTAACAGTGACTGAAGTGCTTAGAGACATTGTAAGTTGTTGGACATAGTATGTAACCTTTAATTATATATAACCTTCTGTGCTATGCCAAGGGTGTCTTCCTTTCTCTTTTTCTTACAGTTTGCATGTTCTCTGCTGCAAGATCAGTACTTTCATATTCTCCCTGTTCCCCAGATCTCAGACTGACCATTAGTCCAAATGTGTCACTACTTACCCCTCGATGGAGGTGATTTTCTTCCAGTTTCTTCTTTGCCAGAAGTTTTGAGTTCATTCTCCTCGTTATTATTTTTCCATGGTTGCTTGGTCTATAAGGTGAACTGTTGCACACCCATTTGAAAACAAGAGAATTAGGTACAGAATTGGATTGCACAGCTGAAATCGTATCTCTGAATCCTGTAAACTCCTTGTGTGTATTGATAGGGAGCTTTCAGCCTCTCCCAAAACTTAAGCTTACCAATCCTGCCTCCTAGCTGCGTACCTGAAAATATTGTAGTTGTTCTGCACTTTTTTCTCTCCTTGCTTTGTCATTTTCTTAATGTCTTATGCCAATGATAATCAGGTTGTTGTTCACTCCATGCTTTTCTTCGTGCCGCTAGAAGCTGAAATTCCACTATGTGGTGTTGATTTCAGCTGTTTCTCAGTTACTTTGTTATTTCTTAGTTTCTAGAAATAAGTCCTTCTGCAATTAATTTTGAACCAAGATTAGTACTACTAACTTGAAGAGTATTACTGTGAGCAGACTTTTTGACGCTACTTTTTTCTAGACTGATTTGCACAATTGCTCTGTTTCATCTGATCATGTAAGTTGTCAGGTTTTAGAAAAAGCAAGGCTGTGCACTTAAATGTATCGGAGATAATGTGTTTAATGTTGTCTTTTGCAGTATGCTGTGAAGAAGCCTTTTGCTGTACTGTATAAAAAGTAAGTGGTCTCACTTTGATATCTTTTGAGTCTTCTGATGAGACAGCTTTTGGTAATTTCAGAGCATGAATAGAGATGCTGGCTAGCGTGAGGGCTTGGGCAATGGAAAGGTGATGATGACTGAGATTCATCATAAATTTCAGTAGACTGGAAACAAGCTACACATGATCAGTGTTGGTGCTGAGCCCAGCTCTGTGCCAAGTGTTATGGAGCAGGATTCGGCGACTTGAACAGTTGGCTTCTCTGACTGATCTGTGCAAACAGCCAGCAAGGCTGTCAGGTAGGCTGGAGTTCTCATCCAAATTTTTATAAACTTGAATTACAGATTATAGTGATAGATACGTCTTGCTTGAAATGGGAACCCAGTATCTGTATGGACATAGTGCAGAGACATAAATTTTAATTTATGCTAAATTTAATGCTGGATGAACAAGCCGAGGCAGTTGTTTATGAAGTGCCACTGGTGGTGGTGATGGTCTTGAAGTCAGGCCCCAGGAGACGGGAAACGTGGAGGAAAGTACTTAAAATAGTAACAGTGGCACTAAGGAACTCCTGGCAGTATTAATATGGCTTATGGTTTGAACTAAACCTGAATCTCGACTGCTGGAGTTGCCAGTAGAATGCAGAATTTTAATGTTGTCAGAGAAGAAGTGCTTGTCCCAGCCTGTTGATTTTGTTTGTTTGTTTGTTTTGGGGGGTGTTTGTTTGGTTTGGGGTTTTTTTTAAATCTTTATTTGTTCCTTCTTTCAGGAAAAATATTACTAGGCCTTTTGAGGATCAAACATCATTGGTGAGTATAAACTATGTCTTCCCTTGTGACATTTTACAGCTTTAAAGCCATGAAGAACTTTACTGTTGAATAATTCGCTATTACTCCGTGAGGAACTAGATGAAAAACAAAGTTTATGGGGAGTTTGGAAAAGCTGAAGGCAGAGCTATGTCTAGATTTATGGTGTCAGGCATGTTTTTCCTCTGGCTGCAAGAAACAGTCGCCACGTTGTGAGGACTTTGTCTTTACCATAAATGCATGTTTCTGTAAACTGACAGGCAAATTCAGGAGTCTGTAACAGTGCTTGATATTTAAAGAAGAATAACGTGTTTTATTTTGGTTTTCTAAAAGTCAGTTCTCTGAAGTGACACAGTTTATGAACAGTTTGTTTTCAGTTTGGTGAATTCATAGGTTAAAACAGTTAAATGGAGGGATCGTAGCGTGCTGTGACTTCCTCGTGTTTGAATAGAGGAAGAAAAAGCCCAGCAGAGCAACACACGTAAACACGCGCATCAGCTGTCCAGGTGGTTTCTGGGAGTTCTGTCCCAACATTCTGTCAAGATCTGTCAGAAAAATGCACCATTTCAGTTAAATATGTGTGTTTGGCCTGCAAAGAGGTTGCAGAAGTGGCTCTTCAGAGGCTTGGAGGGTATTTTGGAAGGGAATGTGTGTTTGGAAATACATTTGGTGATATTCCCCTGTCTGGATTTGGTGATTCAGTGCTTTAAGGTCAAGGTAATTTATAAGGAGGAAGGCAAAAAATACAGGGGCCAATCCTAAGATTGTTTCTCACACATTTGCACTTCAAGTGAAGCATTACTTTAACTGCTGAAATACGTCTGTCATAAAAGCAACACATGTATTTCCCTCAAAAAAGTGAGGAAAAGAACATAGTAATGTACAGTTGTGGTGTTACAATAAAGACAAAAAATTAATTACCCCAAAATAAGTTGTTTGGTTCCCAGTGATTGTGATTTACTGTGCCACTGCTGACTCACATAGGGAAATAAGGGTCAGCTTTCCAAAACATGAGACAGTTGTTGAAATAATTCACTGAAAATGCACACTGAAGGTGGGAATTTAGGTGTATTGTATTAAGCAAATCTGTGTGTGAAGGAAAAAAACCCATACATACACACCAGGCACAAATGCATTTTCTTGTCTGAAAGGGGTTGTGAAAGTAAAGGGGAAACATATCTAAGGAATTAACTGTAAATAAAAATGGAAAGATGGGGAGAGATAGCTAGGGTTCTTTAAAAAAGTGAAGGCAGCCAATAGCAAATGCTAGAGAAGTTGCTGAAGTTGTTTTACACAGTTGAGCTAAAGCATTTTTTAATGTGCTAGGAACAAAAAGATCATTGTTGCAGCATAGATACACCAACATAGAAAGTTACTTAATCTGCATTAATACTGATGCTGAGGTGTTGTAGTACGTGCTTCTTGGCATGAAGCACAGTAATGCAGCCATCCTTGAAATGCCATGAGTGGAATGGAAAACTTGCTGTAGGCAGCGAGGAAAGATTTGCAACATCACTTGCCTGAAACTAAACCTCTTACAATCCCATAGCTGGAGGAGTTGGTTTCACAGTCTTACAGGAGCGAGCTGATCATCAGCTGACTGCTGGTTTAAACTTGTGATCGTTTCTGGGAAAACATGGCAGCCAAAATAATTCTGATCTTTTAAAAGAGTCCTTCAAGGAACTCTTAATTCTTGTAACCTCAAAACAATGGGATTGGGTCATTGAGAACAGTGTCAACAAGTAATCGGAGCCTAGAAAGATATGGAAAGTCAAATCAAGTTAGGGGTTTGGGGTTTTTTAACTTGGTTATAGGCTTTTTTTTAAAAAAAAGACAATTTTGCCATGTTGCAGGACACATTTGAGGCATTTGATTTTACTGGATCTTTTTAATAAAATACTTTGCTTTTAGAGAACTGACGTGTATAAACATGCATAATTAAGTGGTTCAGGGGGATGGTTCTGTTCTTGATCTGTCTACAGTCAGTATTTTCCAGGGACCTGGTGGCAGAGCTCCATGCCGAGCTGTGTGATTTGTGCGTGCCGTTAATCCAGCCTAGGATTGCTCCTGGGGGTGCCTCTCCTGACCTCCCCGAGGGGCACAGCTGCAGTGTTGCAGTGCTAGCAAGGGATGCAGTGGCTTTTTGTACTTCACAGTGTGGGTGCAGAAACACTGATACTTCTGGAAAGTACCCAAGTGTGAGAACATTAGAGATCCACAGATATTCCTGGGCTGCTTGTTGAGGGAATTAAGTGGTTGCACAGAAGCTGTTAGGCAAGGCTAATATGCTGCGTAAAGCTTAGCTGGGTAACTGAAATGAGGCATTACAGCTGCAGCCAACTTGCTAATACTTACTCTTCAGGCAAGAAGTGGTTGAAGGTATCTTGGGTAAAAACAAATAATGATTAATTATAAAAAAGGGCATTACAGATAAAATGGCAAAAAAATATTACTTTAAGACTTCATTAGGAAATAAGAAATGAATTGTTATTTGAATGTTGAATCCACCTACCAATTTTAGCTTATATGGACCTGGGCATACTCAAAACTTCTAGTAAGTGCAATTGCTCTTCTCGTTAAACTACTCCTTAGCTCACATGTTTGTGACACATACCTTCACCAAATGTTTAAATACTAAAAACTGGAACTCATTAATTTTGTTCTTTTCCTAAACTGTAGGAATTCTTTTCCAAGAAATCGGATTGTTCTTTGTTTCTGTTTGGCTCTCATAACAAGAAGCGACCTAACAACCTGATAATAGGTAATATGTCTCACTTGGTTAGTTTTGTTTTGGTTTTTATTTGGATGAAAGATCCAGTTTTCAAGGAATATCTATATAGCTGGATTCTCTTTTTACTTTCACAGGTCGCATGTTTGATTATCACGTCCTAGACATGATTGAGCTTGGCGTTGAAAAGTTTGTGTCCCTAAAAGATGTCAAGGTAAGGAATCACTAATTCAGTATTTCAGTGACATCTACTGGTGGATTTTTTTTGTGCACTGGCTTTTTCCATGCTTTGAAATAAGGGCAGAAGTTGTTTAAAAAAGCATTTCATGCTGTATATGAGGATTACTAATTTGTGTACCCCATAATGTTATTTTTATGCTTTGCTTTTTCTTTTATTTTTGGTTATTTTGAGCAAGCTTGCAACTCTTTGCAAATTCTTTTTTTGAACTCGATTTATTCCTAATATTTTCCTTTTTAATTGAAGAGTTACCAAATTCCTTAGTCAGGTTCTGCTAATGGTGGGTTCCTATATAAACTGGCGTAGGCTTTTAAAACTGAAATCCCTCTTCTCATATAATAACCATTATGCTGACTGAAATGAATCTGAAACGCTTTAGCACATAAATGCCAGTTTTCAGGGAACTGTACTTAATTCAGACAGGGAGCTAAGAACTCGATTATTTAAACCCAGAGAAAATTCACCTTTTATGGCTATGTTAGGCTCATTTTGGCACAACCAAGGCATATTTCATATGTGTGTACTTTTGTATCAAGTAGTTCATACACTGCAAAAATAAGGAATTTTTATGGTCGTTATTCTCATGGCAGTGTGTAAGTTGATGGGAGAGTCTAGAGGGACAGTAAAGAAATTATGGTTTATGAAGCTGAATCTTACCCTTGAGGTCAGATTGTGGTGTGTATCTTCATAACACTGTTTATAGCAGGAAAGTTGCAGTTAAATAAACATATTTGTTGCCCAGAATTAAAATTAGGTGATTGACTGAACTATCCTTTTAGCCTTTTTCATGTACTCTCCAGTGTCAGAAGTACAATAGACTTATTTGCCTCTAATTATAGTTTTCTTGTTAGTAGTTGCAGTCAAATTTACTCATTTTCGCTTACATTTTATGGTAAAGGATCTCTGCTTTTTTTTAATCCAACACAAAGAATAATACAGTTCACCCTTTTAAAAACAGTCTTTCTGTACACATACAGTATTGTTCAATGAAAAACAAAGTGTCTGTTCTGTCCATATTGACCACAGGTCACAACAATTCTTCATTCAATGTTGAATGGCTACCCTAACCACCAATAAGTCAGTATGTTCCCTGGCATGGTCTGAATTTTTGTTCTGTTTTAAAATTCTTATTCTGTAGAACAGTAAATGTCCTGAAGGAACAAAACCCATGTTGATATTTGCTGGTGACATGTTTGATGTAAATGAAGAATACAGAAGACTGAAGAGCCTTCTTATCGGTCAGTGTTTGGATTATTTGAGCAGTAGGGCTGCATAAATCTGTAGTGAGGTGATCTGCTGGGAAATGCTGGTTTGTCAATAAACGTTTGCTTATGTCCAGCACAGAAAGGAAACACGAACAGGCACTTGTAAGTTTCATGGCACCTTAAATTAAATTCAAGTTATCATCACAACTGTTAGAGGGGGAGGGGACTAGCCTAAAAGAAACTTTGTGTTCACTAAAATTCTTTACTTTGATTGTGGGAAGATTCTGGCATTTTTCAAAAAGTCTTTACTTTGTACTGGATCATCACTTTTCTAACTAATAGTTTTGAAGTATCTAATTTGAAGTCCACGGATTAGGTTTAGAAAGTAGGATCTTTTTCCTTACAAGAAAATCAAATCAGTGTAACTGAGCTTGTGTTTTTGTAATGAAAGCATTTTCTGTTGGAAATTTGACCAGTTCTAACAAAAGTGCCATTGATTAGAGTACTTGGAAAGAACATGTGCAGTGGAAATCAGCTGTAGATAATGGCTGTGTCATAACTTCAAGGCAGGCTTGGAGCTTGGTAAACAAACTCGCATAAAGTTTTTTACTGTCTCAAGGTTAAAGGCTCATTGTAGTTTTTTTCTGGGAACTGCAAAAAGCGATTATACTTTTCTTAGGGTAGCTTTTTGGGATGTAGAAGTTATATGGAACTGTGTTTCTCGGCACTTAAAACTGCATCTTGCTTGGTAGAACTACGTCCAGTAAGTAGGGTGGTGTGTTTTTTCTTTTTAATAGGTTTCCTAGAAGTAGATGACTCTTTTTTGTGTGTGTTTGGTTTTTGTTTTTGTCTGTTTTGTTTTGGTTTTTTTAAAGCTTTGGTAAAATACCGAAACTGTCTGAATAAGAACAGCCTTGTTCTTTCAGTTCCATTCTTCGGTCGTACCAATTCATAATCTTACAGCTTTGCAAGATCTTCATATAAAATAAATACTGGCTGGGCTTTCTTTTTGTAGGCAAACAAATAAATGATTGCTCTTTAGAAACAGATCTTAAAAATTAGAATTTTTTTCTCCTTAGTATTACAATTAATTACACCAAGATTTTTCACCTGGAATGAAACTGAGAAGGAAGCAGGAAAGGAGAAATTTTGCATCCTCTCCACACAGCTGACTGCTTCTTGGGATAGTTCAGAGGCCAGTAACTGTGCTTATAAACCTTTGAAGGGGGGTGAATATTGGATACGAAGTCAAGTGAGTTTTAATACTGCATGTTTGTGACACTAAACGAATATTTACACTGCAGGAAGCAGGTGCATTATTTTCTGAAGTGTATCTTGTTCAGGCATCTGCACAGTGTTGGTTCTTTGACATCCAGATGTGCTCATGCACCCCATGATCAAGCAGCTCGATACCTTAAATGGAAGACATGCATAGTTAGATATTTGCCAAATAACCAACTACTCTTTCCTGTCCTTTTTATTTTGATGCTCCTCTGTCCTTTCTCTGCCGTCAAATGTTCTCAAACTGACACCCAGTCTTTCTTCTTGAATGTACTCCAAGAACTCCAGGTCTTAATGTTCTGCTGACTTCTGTGAAATACCTAGGTGCAAAACAAGAGTTAAAAGAAAAGGTTAAGAAGTGTAAAGGCTTGAAGGTGTCGCTAACAAATTAAATTTTGGGGGGTAATAATTTCACATGCCTCAAAACCGCCCCTAACTTCTAAGAAAGAAGTGATTCTCTCTGTTCCTGCGTAAGACCGTGCTTTTAAGCTGCCACTCTATTGCTAGGATAGATAGAAAAACGTCTTTATAACAACAACAGCAAATATTTTGTTACTGTAGCAGTCTTGTTGAGATCCCAAAGGGAATATTAAATAGCTAACAGCTTCTTGTTGCCAGAGCAATGTGATGCTGGTGAACAACCAAGCTTTCATTGGCTTTTGCGGTATCAAAAGGGTTTATGCATATTTGGAGTATCATCTTACAGCAGTTTCTTTGTAAGATTAAAGGCAAGGGTAAATTATTTTCTTCATGGTAACCAAACTATAGTCTGCTTAAATTGTGAAGTGGAAGAAATATTGAGGAGAAATAAATGGCAGCTGCATTTTTCTTTAGAGATGTGGAAGACAAAGACATCCCATTCTTTCTCTTGGTTTTTGTTGCCTACTGATGTGGTAGTGTAGGAATTCATTTATGATGTAAGTCTTTGGAATGCACTTTATGAAATTATAATAACTTTTTATGCTTGTATTTATGAAATGTTTCATCTCTTACCACTTGGTTGCTAGCTCTGTTACTGCACACCCTTTTCAACCTAAAAACGGCTGGGCACTACATGACTTGCTTATAACACTTTCTAAAATGTTGCTTCCAGGAGACCTGGACAATTTCAGATTGACCATCAGCTTGTTCTTCATGCAGCATTTCTCACATAAGCTTTTCCAAGTGTCTCAAAAGATTTGTGGGCTCCTTCTGGCCAAGAAAGGGAATGGCTTGGAAATGTCTGGGATAGCGTTTGAACTCTGCAAATGCTAACCATAGCTATGTAGGTTACAGCATTACCAGCTTTTGGATATGGATACTAAAAGAAGTGTATAGGCTCATGTCTGAAAATAATTTAGGAGTTTAATCTGTAAATGGAAAGGTCCTGTGAATCTTTCTGCAGGGAAAAGTAAATTGGAAGTTTGGAAACACATTTAGGACAGGAGCAAGAGAGAACTGGGAATGGAAAGAAAGGAGAAAGCAAGTCTGTAGTGCAACCAAAGCAGGAGTTGTAAATTAAGAGTACATTAAAAAAGCTCTCTGGGTATAGTGAAGTATAAGGTTTCTGCAGCTCTTCAGCAGTGCCAGGAAACAGAAATTCCTGACCACCTGCATTTGTTGGAAGAGATCATCCTGTGGGTAAAAAGATGTTTGATGCCACAGGAAAATATGAAAGGGAGACATTGCCAACAAAACGACTGTAAGTGTAAGCTTGTGTACCCACAGAGAACTAGTTGAAGGGAAAATATAAGCAAACAAAATAGTTTATTTGCAACTTTTCATCTAACTACAAGCTCAACCTACAAGAGGAGGAGAGAGTGAGTATTTAAATACCCAAGGACATTTCCTGGCTAGACTCCAGCTGGTATCTGCCAGCAAGACTTTATTTTGGATGTCATTCCAGTGCTGATACTCTTGAAAAAGGTGGTGGAGGAAAAGACAGCAAGCTGAGGGATCTGAAAACAGGACAGAACGGAAAAGACTGATGTGTTTTGCATCTGTTAGCAGTTCTCTTGTGTTTCAGCATGGCCCTGTCATGTTTATTAGCACACCTTGTTCCCTCAGTCAAGGTCACATTCTTTCTCCACCCTCTGCATATGTTGGACAGATTGCTGCTCTGATTGCACAGTGTTTTTTTCAGAGCCTGGTGTAAGAACCTTACTAGAGATGGCTCGTTTTGTTTTTGGCCTGTATTTCAGTGTTCTCTTTGCAAACTAAGCAAGTACTTAAAGTGTCTTATTTTTATAGATACATGTGTGTTGCTTGTTAAATAGAGAAAACACTGATTGTCGTGATGAATACTGCTTCAGCTAAAGGACAGAAGTGTTTTTTGTGGGGAAGGTATGAAAAAAGCAATGTATCTGAACTTTTTCTCCAAGTCAGAGATAGAAAATAGGTAGGGCTAGACAAGATACAGTTTCTATCTGCTTTTTTACTGGTTTTGATCCTTCTTGTTACTCTTCCAAATCTGGCTCTGATTAAGAATCTTAAGTATAGGGGTTTTTTGAAGGATGTCTTTAAACAGATAACTGAACTAGTGGCTTCTCTCTGTTGATCTATGTTTAGCTGAGCATGAACTGGCCTAAGCACGAAATAAGATTTCATTTTTCTGATGTGATGGGAGCTGAATATTTAGAACAGACAATGCAATTATCCCAGTTAGCTTAATAAAACTAAGTTACTGCTCTGAAAGTGTATTTGCTCTTCTCCATGCACTGATTTTTAGGTAGCCTGCATATTGCTACCAGATTATCTCTGGGAAATCACTGTGTTCTTTTCAGGAGTTCTACACACGTTTGCTTTCACCAGTGCTGGAGCTAACACATGCAATGTTAAGTCTCTCTGTCGTGTTTTAGCCCAGCTGCGGTTTTAAGTAGTGGTTATTTCGTGAGATTCCCATTAAACATAAAGATTTGGCTTTTCTAGAGCCATTCCGTATATAGTCTTGCTTAGATGCAGTAAAAATATCTATATAAGCAAGAAGTTCCCATCAGTAGTGTGATGTAGGTCCATTATGAAATATACCAATTTGTTATAGTCATCTGTTGGTTTGATGTTCAGCCAAGAAACCTGGCATTTATTATTTTAAAATATTCTTTCAGATTTCTTCAGAGGTCCTACTGTGCCCAGTATCCGTCTGGCTGGTTTAGAGTACGTTCTGCATTTCACAGCGGTAGATGGGAAAATTTACATGCGGAGCTATAAGTGAGTATGTGTTTTATCTCTTTCTTTGGTTTTTGGTACACTTGTCAGCTTTTTCCCAAATTTACTCTCTAGTTGTGTAACTGAACTGTCTTGAGCAATAGTTTGCTGCGTTTAAGACATGTGTAGAGGTGTTCCAGCATAACTGGCTGAAGGAAAGAAGCCAGAGAGTC